CTATATGACAATAAGATACCTCCGCCATTACTTTTAGGGGTACCCCTAAGTATTTTTTGAAAAATTTTGTGTTTTGGTTGCTTTAGGCTCATTTTGTATGTTCTATTTATAACCATTAGTTGAGTATGGCTGCGGCTGTTTTTGCAACGAATTCTAAACCCTCGAAGAAATTTCTCAAAAACCTTTATTCTTTTCAAAATAATTATCATCGGTCGAAAACTCATTTTTAAAAGTTCGGTAGAGCTTTTTAGAATTTGATACAAAAATCTTTTTTTGTCTACGAAACTCTCAGACTAAATGCTGACTACAAGTGAAACGTAAAGTAGCTCAAAGTTTTCGCATCTTGTCTTTTATTTTGAAGTTGTAAAATAGATTTCAGGATCGATAGGAAGAAAGATCACAAAAAAAAATAATTTATGAAAGTTTTCAATATATATTGTAAATAAGATTTTTAAGAAATTGTAATATAAAAAGTTACATCCAATCAAAGAAACTTATAATAGTTTCAAAATAAAAAATTTTTCTACTGAGTTAATTTACATGAGCTCAAATATTGAATAATTAATAATATCATACTTTAATCAGTGGATAAAACTAACAAAATTTGATTTATACAAGGAGAAGAAGCAGTTTTCATCGTTACAATTTTTTCGTAGACACAGAAGATACATATGAATTTCAAACTATAAATTTTCTATTAAATGTGATTGAAATGAAATTCTCAAATGATTCTTACTACTTCATTCAAAAATATAAAACATAAGATTAGAATCAAGGACAAAAAAGTAATTATGTCAACATTTGATGATTTAAGAAAATATTCGAAATGTACTTTTTTTCGATAGAAAAATGAATATAAATGAAGTCAATTGATGTGCAACAAATACAATCAATGCTAATTTCCAATCGGTGATAAATACATGAATAACAGCTTCAATTAAGTATACAGAAGCTGAAAATAGATATGATATTGATCATCCAATATCTGTTTTTATTGAAAATACGTCACTATTTAAAGACAAACACAAATATATATAATACAATCTAGTATCTTAGTTTTAAAATTTTTATTTGTAGTATAACACTCAAACTTTTATTTTTAGAAGTTGATTTGTGTTAGTAATATAATATTTTGCAAGTAATTATTTATGTCAATTTTCTATAGAATCAAATAGTTGAAATTTAAATAAAATTTAAACGAATACCTGATTTTATATTGTACAAAATATACTTTGATATTTCCAAAGACATGAATTCGTGCTCAGCAGATACAAATTGATCATAATCAAAATATAATATCTGTATTAAATTCTATTAAACGCATGATCGATTAGAATCAAATTCAAATTAACATTTTTTTCGAGTTTTGAAAACTGACCTCATCATATATCTAAATGTGACTTACTCAAGTAGTTTGTTAGTTAATGTTTGCACCGTATAAAAATATGAGATAATCTAAACAAGAAGAAAATAATTAATATTGATTGTTGTCAATCAATGTTCTCTGATCTCGATATCATTGTATATTTTAATAAGTTACATATTACAAACTTCTTTCTGAAGAAAATATACTATGAATTATTGGAAGAATTCAACAACAATAGATTATGTCAAGTTAGGATTTCTTTGAAAATATTTACGTTAATATTACAAGGATTATAATATTTATATAAGAATATTTGGAAAATATAGAATCACAACAAATTTATACAGCTCAAAAATTAAGAAAGCAGTTTGAAATATACTTGTTTAAAGATAGTAAAAAAGTTGATTTTAGTATTTGGTTGAGAATATGAATGTGAGACGTAGAGAAAGAAAATATCTCCATTCAAACTTATACACACTCATGTACATAGTTCATTTTATCATATTTTCTATGATAAATATATTCAATAGATTCTTATTTTTGTTGAAATTCAACTAAAAATTATCATTTACAATAATCATAACTCTCATGAGAGAATAGATGAACACAAAACTTGACGAAAATACGACAAACGAAATCAAACTTTATTTTTATTTTTACTAAATATGAAACCATTCCTTTGTGAATTTACTACTTATGTTACAACAATTTACATAGATCTTTTACAAATGAAATATATAAAACGACATACATGACTAAGTGTAGCCTTGATAATTTATAATTTCATGCAGTTGGTCATTTACAAAGATGCCAGCTCGAAGAAAATATATTGAAAGGAGCAAACTGAGCACTACACTGCACCAATTACTTCAATAGATGAATAAAAATTATTATGAATTGTAAATATAATAAATTGAATAGGTCTACTTACTGACAAAATAAATTACTTTTTTTTATAGACATCTTCATGAAATGTTAAATAGATACTTGTTTCGTTCATGAATTGACAAGCACTATAAACAGACATAAGTAAATTATTAAAGATTTTTCAAATGATTAGTCTTCTAGATGAAAATTCATATGAAATATTTAAATCATTATTGAATAATTAACGAGAAAGTTTTTTTTTTCTAATAAACTTGTCAGAATGACCAATGTCGTAGAATGCAATACAAAACATTTTTTTAATTGACGATATCTTATGAATAAAAGAATATCATTTAAATATGAGGAGAATTCTAATTTTTTTTTTTATAATGACTATGTGCCGAAAATATTCTGATTTCGATTGAGAAATATTTTTTCATTCTTTTTTTTTTTAGAATTATCATTGAGCTAATTTATAAGAACCTTTTTGAAAGACAATTCAAATTTACAAATCATCTTCTCAAAGTCTTTGAATATCCATTTCAATTGATAAACATCTCAATCTATATTAGCACGACTGAAAACATAATCAAAATGCTTTTTTTTCTGGTGTTGACAAAGTTAAACATCTGAGACAAGAAAGCTGATCCTTCACACACTATATTCGAATCATTCTTCTTTTATGCCAAATTGTTAAGTTCAAAAGAAAAAAAGAAAAGAAATAGTAGATTGTCAACGACATTGAACATTGCACCACAATCACCAAAAATCAACATAATATAATTCAATGAATTATCGAATTACAAATTTAAGAGAAACAGAATCAAGTATTAATAATAATTGACTATGTGTTTTGATTATGAGACATGAAAGATAAAAAAAAATAAAAATTTATTAGGAAATGTTATGATCAAAATATCAAAGATGAAATAATGAAAGAAGACTTTTTAAGGTAATAAGAGATAATGTTAAACATTTATCCAAACCTATTGAACAATTGAATTGCTTTTAAATAGAGTCATTTCAAACATGTAGATCAATATACACTCAGCTTTGAAGAAATAGTCATATATGTACATGACGTCTCTGATGTTTCCTTACCTATTTCGTACATAGTGCACCATTTTATTTTTGTTCTAATGAATAAAGGCGTAGAATATTGAATTGATGCTCGTTTTTCGTTTAAAGTGATATTTCGTATATTGAAAATATCTTAGCGAAGATCAATCATACAAGTTTGACTTTCTTTTTAAAAGATACACTGTCGAAAGTTCAACAAAAATTATAAGAATGTACATTGATTGATACGAAAATATTTGAAAAAAAAAGTGTTTATTATTTTGCAAATATTTCGACTTGGAAATTGATGATGTCTATATTTCTTTTTCTAAAAAGATACCTCATCGAAAGATCTAAAATATTGAATGTTACATCACTATGACTCATTCAATATGTATTATTTAGTTTATGATAAGCAGAATTATTTTATTTATTATTAAGAAAATTGATGGTTATTGTCTCAAAATAACGAGAAGACAAAATATCGTTCTTGTACGAACAGCATTTCTTTTAAATTTTGATTACAATTTCATCCCAACTTCCACTCATATTCGAGTGTAATACTACGCTTTTTACGCGGTTGCCAATGATACCACACTTATGGATTAGATTTTTAGTCAATGTCTTTTCAACCAACTAATATGGATTTTACGACTTTTAGCGTATGATTTAAAAAAAATTTTCTCAGAGAGCCTAAAATAAAGAGCAATGAAAACAAAGTTGAAATGAGAGATTTTCAAAATATATCAGAGCACTTTTGACATGAAGGCATATTGTATTTATTTATATATACGTCTTCGTTATCTATCTTTTAATAATGATGCTTGTCTAATAATATGATGTGTACCTGTTCTATACGTAATTCGTGTAATGTGCACATGTTTTTAGATACATATATCTGTTTACTTGCAATAGAAAACATCGATTAATATCGGTAAGATCAGAAAATATGCCGGCAAAGCACAAATAATCGACAGTGACTCATAAATATCATTGTGTACTGTTTTGTACTAGCGTGAAGAAAAGGTTACCAAGAATAACTTATAAAGAATGTACTTATGAAAGTTATCAAATCTGATGATCTTAAGCCATAAAATGATTTTTTCAAACACTCCCTGTTTTTAACATTTTGGTATTCTATCTTCAAAAAGTTATGCGCATTTCAATTAAGCCATCCTTTGAAATTGTGAAAAGAAAAACAAAATTTCAGGATTCTTCATTTTGTAAAATCAAATTACATCATGGAATGCCGCGTGTCATCTCATTTAAAAGAGTGTGAAAACAGTGTCGGGTGGGTGTGAGTGTAGGAGAGAATATAGATATGGATATAATTGTTGCCGTTGTCTTGAAGTACAAACACACTCACACACACATCCACACACCCGCGCTCACACCTATATCTATCTACTCATGCTCACACCCACACTCCTCCCTCGCATCAACGCCTACACACACCCTGCTATGGATATAGGTTCATTTGGTGATGATAGATGTACCGGGTGCGCATGCCGAATTGGCTGTATGATTTGTAGAGTGCGTATGAAAATATTACTCACACCTCACGCACCCAATCATATGAGAATATGAATTTCTTTTTATATATATTGTTCAAAATTGTATGATTATGGATGCTATCAAATATCCAATAAAGTTTTGATTACAATAAATCAGATGCGATTCAAAAGTAAAAATAATCAGTTCTAGTCGATCAGCTTGGACGAAATAAAAGAGTAGAAATAATTAAAATAATCATACTAATAAGATTGATTGGTGATTTTAATGTGCCGACATTGCATATAACCGATTGACAATCATCAAATTTAACCTCGAACGAATTATCATCTTCGACTCCTTTGACACCAACATAGAGAAACTCTGAGTTTGTATCGGGTTGGCTAATCACTATTTCCATTTCATCACTGGACGCGCGTGTTTCCATTGAATGCGATTTGAATAATGAAATAAATCTTTCATAAAAACTTGATGTCTTTGTTTCATAATCAATAAAATCTTGTGGGTCTTTCGGATTTCGAGTATTGAAAGAATAAAAAAGCTTGACTTTACCATTAAACAACTTGAGTGTGATCTTTATTTTGTTACCAATTATTTCAATTTTAATTTTTAAAAATTTATATTTATCTTTACCAATAGTGCCATTTACTGTTGTATTTCCTGGTAGAGGAACCGGCTCTGAACATGTTTTTGATGTAAACTGATTTATTTTTTGCTCCAGCGCCGCATAGTTAACAATTGGAAAGTAATTCTCCGTCATTGGTGGTGTACAAATAGCATGTAATTCAATGAGGTTGAGACTTGAGCCTACTCCAACGCTAACCAAATGAATACCTTGGTCTTTTAAAACTGCAGCCGCATTTATAGTATCATCTTGATTGTCACTTGCTCCGTCAGTTATTACAAATATGACCCGTGATGCACCTTCTTCTAGTTTTCGAAGGCCATTGCTTAAAGAAAAAACTCTATCCATTGCTTGAAGAGCTGCAGACGTTTGCGTACTTCCTCCATTGTATACTGATGTATTAACTACTCGAATCTTTTCATCGACAGTATAATCCCTATTAAGATATGTCAAAACTTGGGCGTTACTTGAATACTTGACAATACCAACATGTGTTTTATTTGGACCAACATTAACTTGCCGAAGTAACTGACCAACAAATATTCGTTGCTTTTGAAAATCAGTCGCACCGATGCTACCACTAGCATCTAGAACGAATCCCAAATCCATTTTAAGTTCTTGGGAGCATGAATCCACACAACATCGAATATGAGAAGGACTATCAGGGCATTGTGGACCTATTTCACCTGTGCATCCACAAATTTCACCTGATTCTTCAAGACCTCTTATACAATAGGGTGTACAGAAACCTTGATGTGTAGCATTGAACTGACACTTTTGCCCTTGGCCAGGATATAAATCGCCACCGCATTCTAATGCTCGTAAAAATTTTGCATATTGTTTAGCTGCAATGGGAAGCTTCTCAATACCACCAGTTAACTTGAACCTTTTTAAAAAGTTAACAAGAAAATATGAATCTTATACAAATAAATTTTTCACATACCATAGCATGGAAAATCCAAGGAAGGTACCATCAGCATACTGTGTTAAAGGCGTTCCTAAAGATATATAGAACTCGTTACATGGTGATTTTAGTCAAATACAGAAATGTTATGAAAACTATTCAAAGATTCAAATATGGTTTCATTTTTTGTGTGAAGATGTAGATATGGGTACTTCTATTTGTGACATCAGTATTCACTATTGGCAGCGTCACTCATATCTGCGCCCACATCCACATTTATCCGCATCAATCCTTTCATTACACTCGGTATTTCTAACTTACCATTTTGCAAATTTGGCTTTTTCCACATTGTAGAAGCAATTACCATTGCATTTTCTATGATTGCCGCTCTTTCTGGTTTTGCTAAAGTTTGATACTGTGCCATTAATTTTTCGAATCGTTCATACATAGTTCTTCCCCGAAGACCAAATAGTCCTCGACGACGAAATCGGAATCCGTCGCCCGTTTCCGAATTTCCATATTTCTTGTCATCACTAGCGAATTCACCAGCTGTACCAACAGCTTCATCATACGCAAAGTCGTCTGTCATTGTAGCTACAATGGCTAAGAATGCAGCCTTTGCTTGACAATTATTGCAGACACCGGCATCTGAGATCGCTTTACTAAGAACTTGTCCAATGAAGTTTCCACGAGTTGAATTGTATAAAGAAGTAAAACTGCTCTTTGACAAACATTGCCAGCCTGTTGTTGGTCATTTTGCTGGAATGCAACACCTTTGAAGTTCACATGTAGGACTGTCTAGTAGAGTTCCTTCACAATCCACAGCTACGGAGCAGTTACCTTTGATGGATTCGTCATATCGACCATAGCATTCTCGTCCATCAACGTAAGAAAAAAGTATAGCGAAAATTAAGAAAATCAAAGCCTTCATTTTGATCAACTTAAAGTGTCTTGCGTGTATTTCGTTTTTAAATATACCTGCAACAATCAGGTATTTATTGTAGATTTAACCTAAAGGTATCTTCTCCAAATATTTATTTCGTTGTCAAGACAGCGTCAAATGATTTTATATAACTCCCTATAGAGGAATAAAATATTTCGGGTACGGGGTGGTGTGGGGGTGGTAAAGAACGAATCCGCCCTCACTTATCGTGAAGCAATTAAATATCAACTTTGCCATGTGCAACGAACTTATGGTTGCTTTTCTTTATCGTCTTGCTATAAATTTTAAATTGATAAGGAGTCAAAGATTGCTGTCATGGGGTGTGGGTGTGAGTGTGGATGTCCTCGCAGGTGACGACCATATACACCTGCATTCCATACACGCACATTGATACCCACGCTCACAACCAGATCTAGCCACCAACACCCAACACTCATGGGGATATTTTTTGGATTATTTTAGTCTCATCAAACCCTGCATACTGGCGAGATATCGAAAAAAACGACGTAGGTCAGTTGGAGACCTTCACTTTTTAGTCTGGTACCCTTACGTGTCTTATAGAAAGATTCGCACAATTTTGAGATATGAACCTTCAAAAAGTTTCATTTTTACGTTGTTCGATCAGCAGTCAGTTAAAAAGTCTGCAGTGAACATTTTGTGTTCCAAAAGGTTCAACAAAATATCATGAATTCTTATCTTATTCGTTGACTGTGATACAATATACCTTATGTGTCACATGAGTTATTCACAAAGAACGATAAAAAATGGATTGAAGTAGATGCGACTTTTCTTCTTGAGAGAAAAGTCGATGCTCTTGCACATCGCATACTTGACTAGTGGGCTTCGTTTACATAGTAAATATTTGATAAGAAAATCGATAATGATGTACTTAGTCAATTTTCATCAATGGGTTTGC